AAACATCAACTCTACCGGTAGTACGAGATATATCTACTCCTGATTATATTGCAAGCCCCTTGGGCCGCCACACACACCCCAATACCTCAAAGTATAAACAAGAGAATCTGTGCCCAGCATATCAGAGATTGTCCGGTATTTACAACAAGTGACTGGGCATGATCGCAAAAAATAAATACCAAACTATCCATGCCGACTGCCAGGACGACTCGTTGAAAACATTAAGTCACAGAGAGAACTCATCTCCCATTATAGAAGTGTATCTGCGGATACACCATCACCACCACCACCACCACTTTTATGAAGTAAATGGCGATCAAGGGATAGTAAATGATCCTTAAGGACCCAGTGCTGTAGCGCTCGGCGCACAGCGAAGATCCTCGGGAATTTCTTGGCTAGTTTTGTTGGGTATGGGTGGTAAAATGTCTAAAAAAAGATATACAATTAGGATCGAGTCCTAGCCCAAATTCTAAGAGGAGAGGTGAGTGACCATTTGTGAATTTGTGAAATTAGTTTGAGGTCGGGGATCTCTGGATGCCAATATTGGCTTGGAGGAGTATCAAACGAGGAGGACGACCTATGGGATAAGAAAAAGGTTGATATACAACGCCGAAATGAAGAATAGTGATTCTACTCAACTATATTGGAGGAAAGGTTCAAACCCTGGCAATCCATACGAGATTATACCAGAAGCAAATGTCATAGTTCCAATGCGTTTCTCTTATCTCATGCATTAATAGGCATAAGTTGGTGCACCGGAGACCTCCAGAATAATCCTCATGGATATGTCCAATTGGGGCTCGGAAAGAGCAAGGAACCTTTTCTTCACCAAAATTTATCATGAACTTGGCACTGTCCCTTGAATCACCATAATGTCTCATCGGGCTCTCTTTGGCTTGTGATCACAAACCCCTTCTCTTTCGGATATGAAAAATTCCTACTATCACGTGCTAGACCTCTACAGAGATCTTAGGTATAATTTCTGAATACGAAAGGATAGGGAGGGCAAACTTCCTACTATGTGAGGAGCCTCGTCGTTAACTCCTGGCCATCTGTGAGGATCCCTTTGCCGGGTACTACCACGACGACGATGTAGAATGTCATTAACGGGCTAGAGAAATCTATGTTTTATCATAGATAGAACTTAATTGAACATGTTCCCCGTCGTACAACATGCCCTCCCTCCCCCGATCAGATGGGACCACGGGTAAACCACATTTCTAAGATGAATCTGTCTAATGAATAACGAGGATCTAATAATCGAGAGACACTACCGCAGCCAGAAAAAATTCTCCCTATGATTAACCATATCTCACTATACGTCCTTTAGCGAATCATGATAAGCAAAGTACTGACCCATGCAAGTTACGATAAACTTTCGGTGGAAGCCTCCCCGGTATTGGTAGTCGGGGAAGAGACGTAAGAGGGGCGAGTATGACATGACATGCTCTTTCCAGTGTTCACAATGGCGATTATTACGGGCTTCTTACGGCACGGCAAAGACGTAAAGTACTATGGTAGGACAAAAAAAAACTCGAGCCGATACCCGTCTTGCACCAAAAACTGAGCCCGCTTTGTCAACCATTCCCCCCCCAACGAATTGGGGGTTCCACTTTAGGCAAAATCAAACCAGGAAACAGGTAGAGAGCAAACTTTGGCAAAGAAAATCGAATAACAAGTCTACTCGTATGGGATTGAAAAACCACCGACAACGATAGCCTAGGAGAAAGGCTGTTGCCAAGTATATTTCGTATTTCTTCCCCATGCAAAGTCTCAAGTCACTTTCTGATCTTAACCCACTATGGCATAAAACATCGCAAGTTATCAATTTACCGCCCTTATACTTCCTTTATGGGAGGAAATGGGTTTTTCCACGATTCTTACTGCTCCTCGAGGTTTCTTACCTTGGAAGTGTTGAGCTGTGTGGCCCTCGGAAAATCGTTGGTTTTTGTGTAAAATAGCCTAGGGGATGGGTTTTTTTGCCCGCCTACTATACGCAATGACAGAGACGCGCATAGCAATGCTTCCCTTCTGATCTCACAGATGACATGATCTACGCTGCCCAGAGAGATTCCCGCAGTCAAGTCCCTCCGAGCCAGGTATTGTACGAGTATTAAATTGTTGGGTCATTCTGTATGTGGCAATCCCATATCATTAGCATATGAACTCCATAAAATATTGCATGGGAAACGGCAGCGAGAACCAGAGAGTGTTTCTGACCGACTTGATTTGGAGGAGTTATCATCTGATATCACTCGTGCTTATGAAAACCCTTCAGAACCCCCTCAACATGGCTTGCATCGATACTACATCATAGCTTGGCTTTGCATGGCTTGATAGGATGTAGTGGCGATAAGACTGCACCTATGAGATAAGAAAGTGTGGCAAGGCTAGTGATAAAGATAGAGCATCTGCTCGCGCGGAAGTCTGTGGGACTCTTTTTCTCGCCAAGTTGCGGGAATTTCGAACGTTCTATGGTGGGTGGTATGCTACCAAGCTGCTCTAGATTGTTGCAAGGCTTAAAAACGCACTTATGGCAAACTCTAAAGCATGTATCCCTTAGTAAATATGATATCCAGGAGATTCAACGTGCCTAAACTCAACAGTTTCTTCTTTCGCCTTTATCACAACGGGGCTCCTACTCAGCAAACTTAAGCAGGAAACGAAGGCCCACCAGCTCGTCTCATAATAGTCGCCCAGACTACCGGTATTAGGTCAATACTGCATGTCGCAGTTCCATTTGCCTGCTTCCTCAGCCGTGCCAATGTCTGCTAAAAATGCCTACACATGGCAGAGGAATTGCTACGGGCTCTGGGAGACACGCACCGCCCTATGTGCTGTCTTTCGGGGCCCTGATAGATAACGAATGCACCAGGCAAACCGAGCGCAAAGGGTCAATAACTGAGGGTGGGAAGGCGCAAGAGTGGGACAGGAATGAGCAGGTAGGCAATACCGGGCACAAGAGTAGGTTATTTTTTTACCTCTTCAAGCGAGTTTGAAGCTCAGCTATGCCGCCTGCGATTGGATTGTTGTGTGAGTGTTCATTGTAAGCTTGGATGTGTGGGAGCTATGCCCGAGGTACCGGCATGATGAAAATGGGATAGTTCGGAGAATGGTGAAGGTTATCTCTACTAAGCGAGGCGCTCAAGATGAGTAGTAACGAAGGCTGAAAAGTCTAAGATGTTCTTTAGAGGGAGCATCATATCCATTGGGCATTTGGGATCTGGACTACCATTTCCTATAATTATCCCCGCCTGAATTTGCGATGGCCCACAGGTAACACTTAACGAAGCAGCCACCTGACAGGGGAATATGCTGACAAAGGAATATCGGGTGACAGGGTATGACCGGAAGGGAACTCTTTCCCCAAAGCCCAATATTGCTCCCGAAAATACCCGTGTGGTATAGTACATTTTGGTGAAAGTCGGATTGGCACTATTAAGACTCTTCCAATTGGCTTTGGATGTCTTCTTTCTTTCTGGGTAGGCTGCTCTTTTCTCCGATCCCACACTCGTGGGGGGACACGGAACCCGCGGGGGCATAGAACTGGGGCATCAGAGCCTCCTCCGCCCCGCAACTACATCGTGATAACTCACGACTACCCCGAGGTTTCGTACTCCAAGAGCAAGCCGTTAGATGAAAACTAGCTGGAGATTCAGTCATCATCACTCCCATTTATCACATCCGCCCCCCGCAAAAGATGTCACAATAAATAAATAAATCGCCGCAGAAAAGGACCACACTTTTGCACCCGTACAACAGTCCACATCCCAACAATTTTCAGATGTCCGAGACCTCTCACAGCATGGTACAAGTGCAACCATTCCTCCCGCATTTTATGCCGGTGCTTCCTGCTTCCTCCCCTTGCAAAGGCAGCAAACCTCCCGCCGATTTCCAAGTTTGGAAGGAAAAGGGTAGATCCGAAGGCGGGAGGGAAGTGCGGGGGGCCAATTAGATCTACGAATTGATGAGTGGGAGCATGTGGGGTTCAGTGGGAATACCGTACCATACTCGAGATTTTTCATTTTTTTTGAACGGATGAACCATTTTTCCGTCGCCCTTTTGCTGGGGGGGCCTGAAGAGTAGACTACTGCACTGTACTCGTACTTGAGATATCATGGTAGAGTACTGTACCAGTACAGTACCGGTACGTACAGTACCTTGGTTTCGGGTGGCGAGCGTGCTCGAGCGGTTGATAGGCTTAATTGAGGGGTGCCAAGCGATCCCTTGCCGAGCAATGGTTCTTTTCCACCTTTTTTTTTTTGTTGGGGTTTGTTGCCAGCGAAATAAGTGAACCTTCAGTTGAGCCTCAGGTCAAACCTCCTTTGGAAAAAAACCAGACCATGCGTTGGACTTTGGTCAACGGCTGAGAGGGATTGTTGCGCAGAGTATCATAAGGGAAACAAAGATGACTTATGTCCCTCCATTCATTTCACCTTCGAAACAAATTCACTGGATTCCGGTGCCTATGCAGAATTATTTTTCTCTTTTTTTCATCCAAAATGCGCCATCCCAACAACTGCGCGCTGAACAGCGGCCGCACCGCGCGCAGACTATCAGTGCCCCATGCCAACGGGTTATCGCAATACCGGCAAAGTACGGTATCATGGCACCGGATCTCTAAGGCGAACAACGGAATGCATTCCATTTTGCCCTTCCCAAGACCAAGAGAATGTTTCCTATTCCTCCCCGAGGCTTTTGCGGGTGGAAAAGTAGGCATCCTCCCCCAAAATCTCTGGGTGTCGAGACTCCCAACAATATTCCATTGCGTAGCCCCAAAGGGTTGAGAACTCCATCACGCAGGGGCCGACAAGCGAGGTTCCCAATCAAAACGGGAGAAAAAAATTCACTCCCCGTGCATCATTCGCTAGGAAAATAGGGAAGAACGCTGGCAGCTTGTACAGTACATATCCTCCCTCTCGTCTTCTTTATTCCCTTCTCCTCTCCTCTCTCCAGATCACACTTCTTCCTTCACCAAGTCCTGACGACCAATTGATACGATGCAAGCCGCCGTGGAATCATTTATCCCATCACTAAAGGTAGCGTTTCCTCCAAGTTCATGGCTTGCATTGCTGCCATCCCCGTCTACCGCCTCCCCAACAATTCCACCCTCAGCGTCGAAGTACCCTTTCACCATCTCCGAGTCCCTCTACACCGCTTTTCTCGATCCCAGGGTGCCATTATCGATTGCGGCAGCCTATGCCGCCGCCGTGCACCTTCTCAATTCTCGATGCAACGGGAAACCATATTGCATTGCTACGACACGGATCTTCAAGGCGTTTGTACTGCTTCACAACCTCCTCCTAGCTGTTTACTCACTATGGACATTCATCGGCATGGCCGGCGCCATCCACCGATCAATAGTGACTTCTAGGGGAGTTCCGGGAGTGGTTGAGTCATTGTGCAAGATTAGACCCGAGACCAGATTCGAGGGTGTGGAAATCAGAGAAATGGAAGGGGGTGTTGGACTCTGGGAGGAAGGATTAGCATTTTACGGATGGCTCTTCTACTTGAGCAAGTTTTATGAGGTCCTGGATACTGCCATCATCATTGCGAAGGGAAAGAAGAGTAGTCTTTTGCAAACCTATCATCACGCCGGGGCCATGATCTGTATGTGGGCTGGAATAAGGTTTGTTGATATCTTCCCCCTAAAGTCACTCTCTTTGGATCCTAAGGCTGATTGATACATCCGTAGATTCATGTCACCACCTATCTGGGTCTTCTGCATCTTCAACTCACTGATTCATACCCTCATGTACTTCTACTACACCCTCTCCACCGTCCGCATCCCCGTCCCGAATGCCCTCAAGCGCAGCCTTACCTCCCTCCAAATCACCCAATTCGTCGTTGGCGGTTCACTCGCTGCTTTGCACCTCTTTGTCTACTTCACTCCTACCACTTACCTCCCCGGTTCCGTAACTGAGGTTGTTCCATCCTCCTCAGCCTCTGCTTCCGTTTCCCGTCATGGAATGCCGGTGGATGTCAAGGCACCCGGAATGGTTCACTGTCTCTCGAACCCTGGAGAAGTCTGGGCCGTGGTTGCCAATGTCGTTTACCTCACACCATTGACGTAAGTCTATCTTCATACCCCAATCAACCGACCGAATCAAAAAAAAAAAAAAAAAAAAAAAACTAACAGCCAAACAGCTACCTTTTCGTCAGTTTCTTCGTTGAATCCTACACCAAGGGTGGAAAGACCAAAAGAGCTGCGAAGGCCGCTGCTCCCACCGAGAAGCCGGCTCGGTGAAACGCTCAGAAACCACCGATACGCCTGGACGAGATCAAATGAAACTGATGAAGAAATTTTTTTTTTTAACGGATGGACGAATCTAGATGGGCATGTTACGGATAGGGAAGGTTCTATGTGTTATAAGAGCATTGGTGGGGGAAAACAAAACCCCTCCTCGCAATTTCTGTGGAGGGGTGAGGAACTGTATATGATAGTTATCCTTTCTCTTTACTTTTTCATCATTCTTTCTTTTTTAAAAAAGTCAATGGAGTTTTGCTTTTTACGAATATACCGATATCCTGGTCCGCTGGCGAAACACACACTAGCCTACAGAGAAGCGTCCGAACAAGGATTGAATTGAGCCAGCAGATTAATACCGTACAAGTACAGTACTCGAGCAGATTTCCTCCTATACGAGTACCGTACTGTGCGATGTGTGCAGCACGGGGTAGGAATTGCCAAGCTACTGTACTAGTACGAATAGTCCCTGCCAGAGCATCGAACGTCACGGCAGTTTGGAACTCTAGCTATCAATCAAAGGTGGACACAGAAGGAGGAAACAGCGGGAGCCGTACAGTATCATGCTCGTACCGCACCCCCCCCCCCAATAGAAACCACTGTTGGCAGAACTCGTTAGTGCCAAGTGCCAACGGTACTCGAGTAGTCAGGGGGGTCAGCAAATACGGTAGGTGAATGGATTGACAAGAGAGAGAATGAAACAATTGAGTATATCGATCTCCGCCAAATATTTTAACCCTAGCCCTCCCGTCATCATGAGCAGCCCCGACCCCACCATCTTCCAACCTGGATGGGGCGGGGTCGTCAGATTTTGGGGGTGACGGTCCAGTCACCGCCACACTGGTTGAAACATTGGCTATATGCCGGGTCGGCGGTGCGAGAACAAATATCGATAAATAGGGCGCGCTTGGTCAAAATAGAGAAGTGCCCATACAAACCATCATGGCGTATCGTACCTCCCTTGAGAATCCCCGCGGCGGGGCTTGGAAGATACCGGTACTCACCATACTCGAGTATCGTATTCATAATTTATCATACCGATACTTGCAAGATTAAGCGTGAGAACCCCTGATAGCCGAAGAGTCAAGATGATCCGGCAAAACCCCCCCAAACTGGCGGGGCAGTCGCATCATGTCAAGAATCATATCCCTGGGGGGAGATAGCAGCCTTGTATCCCTGAGTTTTAAGATCCGGAAAACCCGAGCTCTCCTTTTCTCTCCCGTTATTATTGTTATTTACTAACTAGCCTACCGTTGGTCGAACACTCTTATGATAAGATAAGATACTTGTACTCGTACTATATCGGCACCGGTATTTAGAGGAGATTGTCTTAGTAAGCACCTACACGGGAAACGGGGGTACTCCCGAGCCGGGAACAACGGATAGGAGGCAACCCCCTTTCGCTTCTTCCGTTTTTAAAGCATTTATTCCACGAAAATTCAAGAATACATTTTTGGGAATGGGGAGAGCCCGCTCGGCTGAGGGTGAGTGCAGGTGAGCGAAAAAAAAAAATTTCACCAGTGAGGGTCTTGGAAAGTAGTAGGGTAATCATAAGTTAACTCGAATCACCGGGGGGGGGTTTACATTTGGGCCATGGTAGGGTATGAATCGGCTGCCAATTGAAAGGTATTAGCGTGGTGATAGTATCATAATTTCTCCTATCATACAAGTACTCGTACCGGTACTTGTAGATCTCCTGCGGCGGAGCCCAACGATGCGAGTCCTAACCGAGCAAGGTGAAAATGGCGACAAAGGTTGCCTGCACCTCGCTACCAGCTAACAGCTAGCATGGCTTAGACCCTCTTTTTGACTACGATTGAGTCCCACAGCGCGCAGTTGGGGAAAGCGAGAACAAACCATCGCCGATGCTTCTTACCTCCACTTTCACCCCTCTTGCCATGCAACACAATCTCATGAACAGGGAGGATTCAGCACTCTGGAACGTGTCCATGTGGTGGGTGTGTTCGCCCTCAGCTGCCATAATGTGCCCGTACGAGTACAGTACTGGGTATCTCGGGCGAACTACAGTACTAGTACAAGCACATGGTGATACCGGTACACAATAACCACTGACCTCAAACCAGAGATCGAGGAGCCATGTCCGCGCCACGCTTTCCGGGGCAAGACCGCTAACCAAGGCGTCCTTGCATTGGGGCTAAGTTCTCTCTCCTACGGTTGTCGCCTGAAACACACATACCGCTGTCCCCGACAGGGAGCGCTTACGGTCTGAGAGAGGATAGCGAGTGGACTGGGGAAAAATATTTCTCCCAGAGTCCCAGTGGACCATCGGTCCCCCCTCCATATAAAGGCTTCGCCTTGGGAACTCGGTTCGAGGTTGTGGGTTCCTTTGGAAGTTTCCACTCACCACTCTGGTACACTGCCGCACCAACTGGTACTTGTTTCTCTCCCTTGCTCTATACCAGCTAGAATTGGCTTCAATAGCATACATCGCCTACCAGAATTGCTTTCACTAACCGCCTTATCCCCCTAGATCCGCTTCCACCGTTATCCATTGGTAACTGCCTGGGATGGGGAGCATACTGCAGTTTCTGCAGAAGTCCGGGCGGGAAATCCGGCGGAGCGTCAAATTCTATACCTCGAAAGAGATCATCATACCTTGCCGGCGTTGTGGGCGATACGTCCCAATAAAGGTTATCGGATTGTTGCTTGAGCCGGACAAGTCGATAGAATTCAAGTGCAAGCATTGCACCCAGGTGGTTGGCTTCACCATGAGATGTCCACCAACACGAACATATTCTTCACCGCCAAACTGGCAACCGAACTACAATCCAGCGGCTCCATTTGAACCAGATTCAGCCAAACGGGATATATACGGTGACCCTGTTTCTATCGGTAGTGTATGACATCCTGTTTCGTTAATAACCTCGGATTGTATACGGTACTGACTCGTCGCAGCAAATTTATATCGCGGAAACCGGCCATGCGGGTAACAGAAATTCGGATTCCCATAGCGAAGTGAGGGATTTACGGGATGAGCCAGAGCCCTCACCCCCCTCTCGAAACCCTACATCTTCCAGCCTGAAGGGCAAACAAAAAGCCCCGGCAAGAAAGGCAAGCGTCTCCTTCTCCGAACACCCACCAACGTTATATGGCACACCCGGTAGGGAGCTTCCCGATCGAAGCTCAAGCGAATACTTTGGTGAGGATGGCTCCATAGATGGAAATTCACGAAGTCGTCAAAGCTCCGTGAGTTTGCCGAGGCGACCCTCGCCCGGCTTCCGCCTCCACGACACTATGGGCTTTGAGAGTATGGCGGATAAACCAATCAACCGTCACTCCTGGAACTCAAGGCATTCTGTTGGGCCCAGTTACCGTTCGCATTCCCCGGCCCCACCAGTTCCTCCCATTCCCGGGTCAACAACTCCCACCTCTGGTACCATGTCAAGACGGAGTACCTTAAACCGGAGGTCAGAGGACTACACAATGGACCTTTCAGTGAGCCCAAGACTCAGTTCTGAATCTAACAGTAGTCAAGACTGGCATAATCTACAAACAAACCGCTCGTCACCGGACCCTGAATTCGATCATAGACGTGAGCTTCCCGCCACAGTTGATCGAAGTGTGTCTGGGAAACGACGTTCAGAATCTCAACGGAGTCTCCACAGAGTTGCTGTCAACAGGAGACAGAGCATTCGTCTGGTGGGTCAAAAATAGTCCTTAATCACGCTCCGAAGCTAATTTTGCAGGAAAACGAGGACGAATCTGGAGCCATTGCTTCCAGCATTAAGAGGCGCGATAGCATGGGATCTGATTTCGAAGTTGAACCATCTGATGAACAGGTTCGGCATGCAACACAGATTTGGAGCGAGCGCAGAAGATACGAAAATGCGGATGTCCAGTGGGCTCGTGACATTCTCAGGAGGCACAAGAGCTGGAGGAATACAAACAGCAAATATCCTAACCCCCTCCAAGCGAATAGGGGAAGCGTCGAACAGTTTCAAACACGGCAGGACAATGCTGGTGAAGGATCTAGCTCCAGCGCCAACCATCACCCTCAGCAGCCATACCCATTAACTATACCAGTGTTTTCGGGTTCTACCCCAGGGTTTATGGGAAATAACATCCCCACCCCTGTGGAGGAGGAGCCAGATTCTGCTGGGCTCAGAGGTGGAACCGCTGCCAACAGGTCTTCACGGGAACTCGAAATACGGTTTGGAAGAGACCCAGAGCCTTCGGAGTTTTCACCCGCCGGCACTCCCCAGGCCGGCAACATCCAAGCGCAACTTGATGATTTCGGTGGCCTCGCTCCTCCTAATGGCAGCGGTGCGCCGCGTCAAGAGGCTGCCCCGTCAGATATGCCCAGACCCCAGCTAAACCCTCGCTATGCAGTCCGAAGGTTGAGGCGACGCTGCAGGAAGGCGCTGAAGGCCTTTGCGCGCAAGATATCATTATTCCGCCGTATTTCGAACAGCTCAGCACCCCAGGCACCACCTGCAGCCGTAGCTGCCGCTGTTGATCACCCTCAACAGGACTCCGGTATATTCCCAAGTTCTCCGGAACTGCCGGAGAACTTGGGGCCCACATCCACCAGCCAGGACTTGGAGATGCACGAAGCGCCACCTGATGACCCTGCTGAAGCGGAGGCCAGCACGCAGGTTTACTCGGGGGAGATCACTCATGACCCTTCTGAGGAAGAGGTCAACCGGGTTGTCGGTGAGATAGCCCATACCATCAATGGTATGGTCGCCCCGTTAATAGAGCTGGAATTCGAAGCAACACCTCTACAGCTAGGGTTCGCTCCCCGGCAAGTATCAATGTAAGGGACAAGTTATGTTTTCCTATATTTCCTCTAGTTTTGGGGTGTTTTTTTCACCCCCTTTTTTTCTTTCTCCTTCGTTCTTGCTATTATTTCATGGTAAATTTTTATATACCTTCGGAACAGTTACAAAATAGGTCCAATCTTGTTGGTGTATGCGTTGGAAACGTATAGGTACCCGATGCACTTAATTTGTAATGATAATAAAAAGAGTATATATTTCTTTGGGAAGATGTCTGTCTACCGGTATTGTAACGTACGTATCATGTGATACCACAGAAATTTTGATTTGGCAGGTTCATCTTAACCAAGCCTATGCGTTGCTGCGGGGGACAGGGCGCTGTGCTTTCCTGTACCCAAAGTTATCCTTGCGACTCAGGCAGCCGTAATTGAGCTTCAGACTCTTTCTGTAAATCTAGATTAGACGTCAAGTGACCAAAACGGTCCACTGCGAACTCTAGGCAACAATGAGGAGGAAAAATTTTCTCCTCCATAAGCTTACATAGTCATCTTGGGTGGTCTGCTAACCGTTAGAGCACCCGCTGTGCTCGAGTATTGGAACAGCCACGGTAAGTGTTATCTAACCTGGATTATACATTACAACAAGTGCCTAGGCGGTGCTAGTCCTTTGAGGTGAAGCAAGTTCACTTTAATTCATGTCTTACCAAAGTGCCTTACTGTACACCCCCTAGCAAACCAGCAGATCCACATATACCAGTCTGGTACGACCATAACACCAGACCCCTACGAGTAGACGTAGACACAGACCTCCTCTCTCCCGTAATCACCCATTCCAAATCGCCATTGTGAAAAATTTCTCACTCCTCCCCCCCCCTTCACCCATTTCCCCCCACCACCCTCCGAGTACAGCACAAAGGTATTGTGTCCTTCTATCCCAATGGCGTATCAACTCACTTGCCCCCCCCCCCTATAACTAGGCTACACACCTGTTACGGCAATAGGTGCCCGAATAGGGATTGAGTAAATGTATGGCCAACCGTTCGTGCGCGTCGGTGCTCCCGTGAAAAATTCAAAGTCCAATGCTCGGGTAAAGGTCCCCTTACTCGAGTAAACAAGTACCAGCTATACTCGAGTACAGTACTCGTACTGTACTCTCGAGCTTCAGAAGCATCCGGCGACTTTAACGTCAGGGGCCAATAATCCGCAAATCCTTGACGCCAAGGAGTCAGGCTGCCTCTGGGGTAAGTTAGTCGCTCAGGTGTCATCCCCCACGAGTATGATACCCGCTTAGCCCCAAGTTGTTGGTTACGGGATTGGAAAAAGAAATTGCTGGCTTTAAGCGTTGCTAACTCCGAGCCTTTCTCCCCTACCGGTACTGCTTCTTTACTCGAGTACTATTCGAGTACCTGTACGAGTACAGCACTTGCCGTGGTTCTCTTCTGTCCTAGGGCGTGTGGGGGGAAGAGGGGGGTCTTAGCGTCAGGCAAGGTTTCACTACTACCGTAAATTAGCGGTTTGTTGTTATCAGAGTGGTTTGCCCGGTCGGCGTGCTTGCTGTGAATAACGGGGGCCAGTTGGAACGGGGGATTTTTTTCTCCTCCCTTTTTTCTTTCGGTGGCGGCGCTTTGTGATTTGATGCGAGAGATTTAGAGGGGAGAGGAGGATAGTTATGATACTACGAGCACAATCGGGTATACTTTCTTTCGTTTTTTTTTCCCTCATCGAATGATATTCGGAACTTGTTTTGATTGGGTAGTTTCGGAGATTGGAGGAAAGGTCACTACCTCTCCGGCGCTGATATGTGTTGCGAGGGACGGGGGGTGGAGACGGGAATTGGGCGAGGCGGTTGGTGAGGCGAACATCCAGTTTTGCTGGACGCTAACTTTCGGGAGCCGTTTATTTGTTCTAGGTAAGAAGTACTGCACCCGAAAACATGGTGTGTATGTTTTGTATTAGGCTCAGATCTCCACAGATTTTTCACCATGCATGTATCTGGCATACCAGCAGAGGTTTTTTCTGTTGGTTGTGTCGTTGTGTGGCAATAGCGTATTTTCAGATACTTGTCACGAGAGACAAGTAATTCTTTAACCTCTAGTTCCGGGTACTTCATACCTAGGCCAAGTATAAGCGGCCAACAACACATGATTTGAGGCTCTAGAGATGGAGACTGTCGCCTTGGTCGGCTGACTGAATGCTTTAGAGCGCTTAGGGGTGTCACATTTCTTGAGAATGACCTTGGAAATTGTGAATTGTCTCCCAATGTCGGCCGGGCTCCGGGTGCGTGGTACACTATTAGGAAGTAGGTATCACACATATTAGTGCTCCGATTGGCCTACTAGGCGAATTTCTTAACTTTACTTTACGTTTTCATTGGAGCCTCATTGTCTTCTGCATCGACACGCCTTCGGTTGGATGGCCTTCCTTGCCAATCGGAGCCCCAAAGGCTCGGAGCTCCTCATGAATGCGCTGGGCTTCGGGATTCCAATAGATTATTTTTCATAATTTCCATGCCGGGTCTACTGTGGTTGCTCTACCCGATGCAAGATAGAAAAAGTTCTCGACCGACAACCACGTCCGAGTGATGATCCATGACTAGAGAAGCAACCTTGCGCGAACACGGGTGAGCCTAGGCCATCATGTTAGACACGTACAGTACTTGCACTAGCGCGACCAAGTACAGTACGATCGCAAGTCGTCCGTGGTGTCGCCGAGATGCATACATCCAACCTTGAACTCAAGTTGAGGATAAGATACTGAATTTTACCCTGCGGAAATACTAACTGCTGTCCTAGCCATTCCCCACATGCCGCTCCCCCATAACCTGAACAAGCTTCTCCTCCCGGTCTCCAACAACCTTGAACAGGCTCAGCATCCTTGTGCAGACCTGCCGCCCAAACCATAAGCTCCGATTTGTGGAGATCGTTGAGGGAATATCCAAAGGCTACGACTACAATTCCGAGCTGCGCGCTCAAGCAACGTTATGATTAACAGGGTTTTCCAACTCGCATTCTGAAGCTTCCAATCTCCGCCAGACCGGTAATGGTCCTCAAAGGAGCAGAAATAGCCAGAGTGTTGGAGTCCAACATAGACCTCGAGTCCCCAAATAGCAAGGGCTGCACGCTCCCATGGGCAGCTGCTGGGTATGATACAACCCCACGAGAATTGCACAATTAATGCTCAAGTGGCCCAGCGTCAGCGCCGGTGTACGGTTCGGGATAATTTATTATCCTTGCTTGTACAGCATGCAGCTCTTAGGTCGCGGCTTGTCATGGTGCGGTGGAGCTGTGGGGGGCGCGGGACCCCCGTTCTGAGCCGGGGATCAGTATTAACCTCACACATCACTAGAGCTTGGCGATGAAAGGGTTGGTATGCTGGTGGATTTCTCCGGCTATAGAGTGTTGCATGTAGCGGCTTCGAGAGGTTGGGCGCGGGTGGTGAAGGTATTCCTGTCCCGGCCAGATATTGATGCCTGCAACCGCGATAATGTACGATAGGTCGACCAGCTAGGGGCACAACAGATTCCTAACAAGGAATTGACGGCCCAGCCTTGAGAAGTCTACTCCAGAACATTCCGCGGGAGGGATCTCGGGAAGACGGCTCAAACACACATCACGGGTGTAGAGGTTAACTAGCGGTACCTACCACGGATGCTGTTTTTTCTTTGTAATCCATCCGGCCCACCCCACCCGCCCATATGTAACCCTTCGTTAGGATTATCCCCGGTAAGCTACTGAACTTAACTATATTTTGTCAATACCATTACTTGTTTACTTTCTCCGGAGTTGTAAATTCCTGATCAAGCCGATGGACCGGCGCAGGTCCAGAAGAGCAAGAATCCATCGCCATTCAGAAGGACGAGAAAGAGCTTTCCAGCTTCTCTCTCACCCACCCGACGCAAGTCAGAATCGAATGCTCAAACCAGAGCCATGAAACAAGGATGCCGGTCCCGGGATTGTATCACACAATATCACTCGCTGGCAACTCACCTGTCACTGTGGGGGTGCGTCCGGCATGCGACTCCTAATGACTCAGCGTGCCGCGATCCAAGCTATCATTACGACGATGCTCCCTCCCACCGCTTACTGTGCGATCCGGTAGCGTATTCTACAAATGGCATATTTACCCACATCCGACAATAAAAGCCCCACGGTGCCATCCGCTCAAAATGTCTCACATTCCCATTTCCCCCCCCAAGCCTCAACAGCCTCAATCGCCCCATAACATATCACACACACACACTCTCTCTCTCTCAAACATGTTAAGCCAACAACCAGCACAGACCCCCTCATCCTCCTCCTCCGCCCCATCGCAACAATACAGTACCGGTATCTTTCACAAAAAAAAAACAACTCATACACCCCCCCCCACCATTTCACATGTCAACCCAAGTACCGATGCCTCGGGTTTTTGGCGTCGCACTACAAGTACCCTTTTGTTGCGTTACAACTTTAGGCCGTTTTGTGCCACCCCTCACCCCCCCTCGATCTGTGTGAGTTACTCTACAAGTTATCATGATGGGGAGGGGGGTACATGTTACGGGATGGGGGTCGAGGCTGAGGATCGTTGGGGCGAGGGGGGGCGCACGGTTGGGAAAACAATTCCACCAACGGGGAGGGAGGGAGATGGGTGATATCATGACGGTTGGGAGAGGGGGCTTACCACGGGTAAAACTACTCCCCTTATCACATAGCATGGCAGGGGGGCTCCGTGGGGGGGGGTTAAGTTTCCGTGCTCGTTCACCAATTTGTCGGTATCGGAAATCAACGATATATCTGTACCCGTAATTAAAGGAGGGTGCAAAGGAAAGAAGAAAAAGGAATTACAAAGGCTGGGATTTTATTTCCTTTTTCGTTCATGGGACCTTACGGGGCTATCATACATTACGAGTACTGGTACCGGTAACTGTATCTCGGTCTCACGGGGTATTGCACCTCTAGGACCAATGGTAGAAACTGAGCCCAGCTTACACCATATACGCCCTACTTAGGGTGGGGTATTGTTGAACACTTTTTCTTTTTTTTTTTTTTTTGTATCATAATTATCATACCGCAAAAAAAAAAAAAAAAACTACGATAATCGAAAAAACTTCATAGAACGTTGAAGTTGCATTTCCGAATAAGGTCTATCTGTTTGTTTCATACCTTTCTTTTTTCAATTGTCTCAACCGTGGGCTGAACGAGAAATCCTTTTGTCTGCCTTTCCCCCCCACTTCTATCCAAAAGGGGGAAAATTCTGAATGTCCCGGCATCATTCCCCACCACTACTACACA